GGAGTCACGGAGCTTAGGGCGGGCCAAATAATCCTAAACGATACAACATTGTGCCCCCACGCGGATCGGAGGTGCGTGCGAACATATTTTGACAACACGGGGAGGAAAGGACAACTTCCCAAGCCGTCCACCGGGACCCACCCGAGTATTACTTTTCCCCCATATGAGCACCCGATGACCGCCGTGATGCGGAATCTTGATGAGATCCGAGCCTCGATGACCGATGAGTTAGCTCGATGGGGTACCCGGATAGAAGCCCAATTGCATACCATGGATAGCCGCATTACCGCTCTTGATGCTCGAGTCTCGACATTCATTGACTCTCGGACCATTGATCCTACTCCTCTCTCGACTACCGTTGGCTCTACTACTTTCCCGATTACCGTTGAGATCACTCCTCTCCCGACTTCTCATGTCAAGGAGCCCGATTCTTCTATCACACCTTCTCTTGCCGAGGAGCCCAACTCCTCTTCTCTTCCTCCGGATGACACGATGATGGATACACGGTGATTGCTCACCGTGTAGAGTACGCATTTTCTTTTTCCCTTTTTCTTTTTCTCTTCTTTTTCTTCTTGTGCTATGTGCTTTGTGTGTTTTTTCTTTTTATTTCTCTTTATTTTCTTCTTATTTTGCTCTCGTTTAAACTTGTGTGACATGACTTTCTTCCTTATCATTTTTCTTAAGCAATGGGGACATTGTTTTGTTTGAAGTGTGGGGAAGGATTTCGTGATTTATGTGGTTTAAATGGTTGCTTTTGATGTGTCTTTGTGATTCTCTTTTGTCGTTATCTTGGTTAGGTTGTTTAGTTTTGTTTTGGACTGGTTGTTTAGGTTGATTTTGTTGGTTGTGTCGACTTTTCCCACATTAAGCTTAATGCTTGTTTTATAGTTTGAAATGGCGTAGTAGCTAGTTTGGATTGTCGATCGCTTTCACTATTAACTCCCATGCTTTATGTGCTCGAGGATTTTGACGGTTTTCACAAAATGAGATGATTATTCGTTGGCATTGGAACTTGCATTCGGATTCACGAAATTTTCTTGTCCTTTGTTCGTTCTTGATTGATGATCTTGGTCATGCTTACCTTGTGCTCGCTTATGTGTAAACGTGTTATGCTATGCACTCGAGTTATGTACCTATTTGATTGATATGATTATGCATTGTATGTTATGTACTCGTGTGTGCCACCCCCTAAAAAAAATGAAATGAATAAAAAATGAGTTCGCGAGGAAGCATGGATTAGGCTCCTCTTATTCCGAACCACTTAGTGGATTGGGATAATGAGCCCGGGAAACCGGTCTAGGAAACTCGAGGAAACCCCTCGAGGTTAAACCTAGGGAATCTCGTCCGGAAACCTCGTTTGGAAAGAAAAGCTCACGAAATGAGTTCGTGGGAGTCGAAAGGATTAGGCTCCTCTTATCTCGGTTAATCTTCTAGATAGATCGGGTCAATGAGCACGGGAAACCGTCCTAGGCGACTCGGGAATAACCCCCGAGGTTAAACCTAGGGAATAATCGTCCTAACGGCTTCCATTTGGAAAACGTTACTCATTTAAAAAAAAAATAAATAAATAAATAAATAATGGGGAGTTAGCTATTGGTCTTGTTTTTCTTATTACATATTGAGAAGACCGTTTCTTTGCTTTTTACACGTATATGTTGAAAGGAAAGTTTGGTTTAAGTAATTCATGATTGGGCGACTTGGAACATGTTTTTGTTTTGTGGATTCGTATGTGGGAACCATGTTTTCAGATTTGAGTCGAATCTTGTGAATAACCGTATGATTAGGAGAGTCACATAATGCGTGTTTGTTAATTTTTGAACCGTTCGATCTCTTCTCTCGAACTACTCGTTGTTTTATTTGCTTGAGGACAAGCAAAGAGCTAAGTGTGGGGGAGTTGTTTATTGTGTTTTTGTGTGTTTTTCTATGTGTTTTTGTGTGCTTTCGAGTCTATTCTAGGATTGTTTTAGGGTTGGCCGGTCCATTTTGTCGTTCTCCGTGTGTTTTTTATGCTTTCCTTTTTTATTTTATATTTTGGCGTACTTCTCCGTGTTTTTCGATTATTAATTTTAGGGTCATTCCGGAGATCGAGAGAGAGAGAGAGTCGAACTATGTTATGAGAGAGTCGAGCCACATTTAGTGAGTCCGAGCCAAAGTTTCTTTTGCATGATCGCGAGCCCGCCATTGCTTCCTCGAGGTCGAGAGTCCTCCCTACATCACCATCGCGTGCCCGCCACCATTTCCTCGAGGTCGAGAGTCCTCCCTACATCACCATCGCGTGCCCGCCACCATTTTCTCGAGGTCGAGAGTCCTCCCTACATTACCATCGCGTGCCCGCCGGCGTTTCCTCGAGCTCGAGAGTGCTCATTTCTCACCATTGCACACGGCGCGTGCCTGCCACCATTTCCTCGAGCTCGAGAGTGTTATTTTATGTGCATTTTTTAGTGTGTGTTTTGTTGGAGTATAAATACTTTTGAGCCTTTGCATTTGGGAGACATCTAGCTCATTATGAAATATTTCCCTTTTTGGTTTCTTAGCTTAAGTCTTTCATTTTCTCTCTAGAGCAAGGTGGATGCTATTTACACTTTCCGGCGACTTTTTCCGGTGACTTCTCGTTTATGCAAGTTTTAATCTTTTTCTTCC